GTTACACCACGAACAAGCACTGGGTGTCCGGTCCTAATACCGTCTTCAAGAGCATCATGGACGCCATGTATGCAGGTCCTTACATGAACATGTACGACTCCTTTTTCCTGATGGAGATGGACGCTGTGCCCATCAAGAACTATTGGCTCGACCAGTTCGAGATGGAGGCCCACGAAATGCCGGACAACAACATGGCTGTGCGGGGCAGCCAGTACCTGGGCGACAAGTGGGATCTCTTCAAGCACATGATGCCGGAATACTTGGTGGAGCACATCAATGGCAATGCCATCTACAACCTCAAGCACAACTGGACCCAGTTCTTGTACACCTCCTTCACGGCCCATGGCCCTATGAACATGATGGAGGAAATGGCGTTCGACGTGGCATTCGCCATGGTCACCATGGCGGCCATGAGCGGTGATCCGGGGTTCGCACCAAGCTGGGTGGAGTCCAAAGGCAGCAACATGACCTACAACGCGAACACGATGCTTGTGGGAAACTATGCCAACACCCTCCTGAACACGAGCTTCGAGTTCCCGACCTACATCCGCCATGGCTCCAGTAAGAACCTCTTCATGAACCTGCCGGACAACGACGTCACGTTGGGCGTGGCCTACTTCGATCAGCAGGGCCACTTGCGTGAGACGGTTCCCACGAAGCTCTGATTGTTTGGTATAGTGTTGCAATAAATCTGGGGTACTCCTGGGAAGAACTCTTTTAATACTTGTGGACCATAACCCCGACGTAATCTTATGTGGGTTTTGCTGGGGATTAGCCATGAGTCCAGAGCGTGCTTTCTAATTATTCTCTGTGCTGACATCCTGTGTAGTGCCATGAATATCAGATTTCTAGTTCTGGAAGTGCTCGCAGACCGACCTACCCAATTTCATCCATCTAACATCCAGGTCCTTGAGCCCCAAACCCCGACCTCAAACTTCGAGATTCCAGCAAGGAACCTACGATACACATCCGCCCCCCAGCACCCTAACCCACAACCTCCCCAAAAAAAGGGGAACCGAGGAATCATCCGTTCAAGAAGATTTTGGGCCTTGCCTACTTTGATACAACGATGGCAGATGAGGAGATCCCTGCACCAGGCTAGGGGGTTCCCATTTGGGATTCCATGAGTTTGAAGAGAGGTTCAGGTTTCCTCCTGTACGGTAGAGTTTATGGCTTTTGCAGGCTTTGCGCTTTGCGGTTTCGATGGTGTTTAGGATTTGGGCTATGGGGTGTTGGATGTAGGGTTGAGTGTTGGTGTAGCATGGGGTTCAGGATTGAGACGCCGGAGTTTGCGAGAGGGGTTCCGGATATATGAGAATCTTCCGCTGAAAAGACCAAATGAGTATCGAGATGTGGTGTTTCTTCCTAGCAATGACTAAGAGTGCTCGCGGTGGCGGTAGTGGCCCCCAGGTGGCAACGTCACCTTGAAGATGCAGAAAGCCACCTACGAGCCCATGTATCACCTGTGCGAGGTTGCCAAGTTGGTTGACACCAAGTGGTTTGCCCTCACCGACAACTATCACATTGTGAAAGCCCCGGTGAGCATTCTGATGGAGACGATGGACAAGCCCGTACTGCCGTACGTCTTGAAGGGCTCCA